CAGCCCGTGTGAGCCCAATAAATCGTGCCTTCCTGAGGCAGCTTTCTACTCCTGTCTCTCTGTTTCTACGTTTCCTGCCCACTGAGTCGGCGCTGCAGAGCGGGGAGGGCTAATCCCCTCCTCAAGGTGGCTCGTCCGCGCCGGGGGCTGCCGGTGGAGGGAGTGGCCGCCGGCCTCAGGCCCCCGTGATCCGTGGCCCGGTGCGTGTGGCCGCGGCCGGCGACTCGCCCTTTTCCAAGGCCGCTCTTGCTTCCCCTGGCTGTCAGTTCCGGCCCTCAGTTCATGATTCACTTGTGTCGCTGGTCCACGTGCGGCCCAGTGTTAATTGATTGATGATCAGTTATTATTATAATAAACCCCACGAACCCACTACCCAGCGTGGAAGCTAGAGCACCGTCGGTAATTCACCCCGGGCTTCTCAGGGAAACCGCTGTTAGAATCGTGTGCTACCTTCTAAAAAAGAGAGCGGAGTCACCTCTGCGTGGCCCTGAAGTGCGTGTTTTCTCATGCAGGGCCCTGAGGGACGTCGGAAGGTATTGTCCTGCACTCCTGGCCTCGGACTCGCTTTCTTCACTCCGAGCACTGTTGCTAGGATTTCTCTCGGGTCCCGCGTCGTGTCGTGTGTCCTCTTGACCCTTCCCGCCTGCTCCATGCTGGGGCTGTTTCGGCTGAAACCTGCTCCCGTAGATGGGCAGGTGTGGGTGCCGAGGGAACGGGGGACCGGAGGGCCTGGCCGTGGACTGTCCATGCCCTCCTTTGGCACCTGTGACCTTTCCGTTTGGGGCAGCCGACCGCCCGTCCCCCGGCAAGGCTCTCTGTCTGTCTGGCAGTGTCTCAGGCGGGTGGGCAGGTGCATGGGAGCCTGCTCCACCCCCCGGGGAACACGCACCTGCCGCCAGCCCCGGGCGACGGTGGAGAGGCAGGGACACCGGCTTCTCACCCACCTTGTCTCCAAAGCCACTGCACCTCCATGCCTGGTTTCTGGGGGTTATTTTGTAATGAATTTTCTGAGTCGGAGAAGTGGGTGCGTTTGAGACCCACCGGCAGTGTAGTCTGCCGCCACCTCCCCCCACCCCCGCCGCCCCCCGGCTTTGCTCCCAGCTGAGGTCGAGAGGCCTGCACTGCGGACAGGAGCCTGGCTGCCCTCCCACCCCAGGGATGGCCTCCGGAGCCTCAGTCCTTCCTCCTCACCCAGCTCTGCGGTGACTAGATGTCACAGTACCTGGATCCTGCCCGACCCCACCCCCAGGCCCCGTTGTCCCTGAGCTCCCGAGGAGGCCAGTGGGGGCCGGGAGACAGGTCAGCTCTCTGGATGTGGCTCTTTTTTTTTT